AATCACCAAGACAGGATCCATACCTGGGATCAGTGAGCCCTGCCTGGGAGCAGCAGGAGAGTGAGCGTAGAGGACGAGACATTGAGGGATGCATAGGAATCTGCCGGATGGAGACCACAGCAGAAAGTGTGCTGTCGTTGGCTTTTGGTAACTGACTTGCTGAATTCCTAGTGCTGCTGTTCCAGAAATGACAGCTGGTGGCCCAGGGCTGGCTTGCTACAGGTGGAGGCCATGGAATCTCTTTTCACAGCGAGGACTTGCCATGGGAGACCTGTAGACAGCCCGCCTGGAACGCCTGGGAGTGGGACATCTCACTTCTTGGCATCCGTATTTGTGGTCAGGTGAAATTGGCAATAAACACGTGCCTCACCACTGACGTGTTGCTCTTCGAGGCACTGCCTATCGGGGTTCTAAGGCACTGACTTCTGTGTTCCTCAGTCTCTTGGCCTCAGAGATGGCATGCTGGTCTGCATGTGGTGTGCATGGGGGTAGAGGGTAAGGTATGGCTTCTGCTGAGTGCCCTGAAAATACAGTGCAATAACTGTGGCAGAAGTGTAACTTCCAGGCACAGCCTCGAGGGGTCCAGAGACCTCCCGTGTCTGGGACATGACATGGCAAGTGCCCAGACTCGTCTCCAAGTGTGTAACGTGCAGACCAGGAAGTCAGGGCACGAGTGTCCTGGGGCAGCTGTGACAGAGAACCACAACCTGGGGGTTCATAGGGCAGAAATGTGTTCTCTCACAGTTCTGGAGGCTGGGAGTCCAATCAGGAGGCAGCCATGTGGCTTCCTTCGAGGCTCTGAGGGAGAACCTGTTCCTCGCCTCTCCCCCAGCTTCTGGTGATGGCCAGCAATGCTTGGTGTTCTTTGGCTTGTATATACATGACTCCAATCTCCACCTCTGTCTTAGGCTGGGTTCTCTAGAGGAGCAAAACCAGTGACGAGTGTATATATGTAAATATATAGAGAGAGATTTATTTCAAGGAAATGGCTCACGAACTTGTAGAGGCTGACAAGTCCCAAATTCATGGGTCAGGCATCAGGCTGCAGGCTTCTCCTGACTCACATGGTTGCGGGGGCCGACTAACCCAAAATCGATATGTTAGGTGAAAGGCTGCTGGCTCACGGGGTTGCAGGAGCTGGCGAATCCCAATATCTGCATGTCAGTTGGCAGGCTGCTGGCTCATGTCCCAAGAACCGGAGGTCAGAGGATGACGAGTAGCATGCAGGATCCAGAGAGAGCTTTGCCAGAACATCCATATATGTTGCATGCGGGCCACACCCCCAAGGAAACTGATAGACTTTCAACTGATTGGCTGCTCACATCAGATCACAAAATGGAGGATGATTACATAACATCTGTCAAAACACGAGAATCATGACCTAGCCAAGTTGACACATAACCTTAACCATCACAGCCTCCATTGTCACCTGGCCATCATCCCTCTGCATTTGTCTCTTCTCCTCTTTCAGAAGGACACCAGTCATATAAGGTTAGGACCCACCCTACTCCAGTGTGACCTCATGTTAACTGATTACACCATCTGTAAAGATCCTGTTTCCAAACATGGTCTTTCTCACAGGTGCAGGAGTTAGGACTTCATATATCTTTTGCGGGGAACACACTTCAACCCATAACAGTCAGAGTAGGGGGTGACCTCAGGCTACCCAGCCCATAAGGGTAGGGTGGTTTAGACTGTCCCTTCTTCCCCCTCTACCCCTGCAGTCTGGGTCTCTCCACTGCTCATTGTGGTGCCATGGACCACTGGGGCAGCCTCATCAGAGTGAAGCTGTTTCCACCGTGGAGTGGGTGTGGGGGCGCTTGCTCTGGTCTGAGAAGGAGCTGGAGCTGAGCCGGATGCAGCTGCCCCTTCCTGCTGGCCACGTTCCTTGTCCCTTGCTCTGCCCAGGAATCGTGAGTTGAGCAGATGATGGTGGTCACCCAGGTGTACAGGCGGCTACAAGGGTCCACAGGGGGTTAACATTTACACCGTGAGTGCCCGAGCGCCCCAGGCAGCAGGACAGCGAGGGGCACCCCACACCAGGGGTTAGTTGGAGCCGACCACACAAGCCTGGGGCCTCTCCCCATATGTGCTGTACGTGTGAGGAGCTTCTGTCCTGAGGTTTTCCGGAGACATTCTTCAGCATAAAATCTCATTAGTGGCAGGGGATTTTCAGGCAAAGAAGAGACCGTGCTCTGGTGTTTCTTAGACTCTGTTCTGAGCATTATGAGGATTAGTTTTGGGAACGAGGCCCTGCTGAGATGCAGCTGTTTGCATGAGGAGCCCCCCACCCCCCAGCCTTAGAGAGGGGATGCAATGTCCAGCTGTTCCAAAATCCAGTTCTGATTCCAACAGCCGGGCCCTGCCCTTTGGATGGAATCACTGGATCGTTTCCTCAGAATTCTGAGCTGGGGACAGGCCTCTGGGGCTGTTTCACCAGCATCTGCCCACATGGATGCCCAGTCTAGCACTGGGTGGGGGTGGGCAGCGGCCCCTGGCCACAAGGCCTAGAGAAGGCAGGTTACAAGGTGTCTTAGTCATCTTGTGCTGCTGTAACAGAAATACCACAAGTGGATGGCTTTAACAAACAGAAATTTATTCTGTCAGTCTAGGAGGCTACAAGTCTGAACTCAGGAAGTCAGCTCCAGAGGAAGGCCTTCTCTCTGTGTCGGCTCTTGGGAAGGTCCTTGTCATCAATCTTCCCCTGGTCTAGGAGCTTCTCAGCACAGGAACCCCAGGTCCAAAGGGTGCACTCTGTTCTAGGCACTTCTTTCTTGGTGGCATGAGGTCCCTCTCCTCTCTACTCAGTTCTCTCTTTTATATCTCCAAAGATACTGACTCAAAATACAACCTAATCCTGTAGATTGTCCTGTGTCATTAACACAACTGCCTCTAATCCTGACTCACTAACATCCTAGAGGCAGGATTTACAACACCTAGGATGATTACATCAGATCAGAAAATGGTGGACGACCACACAATTCAATCCATAACACAAGGGGACCCGTGCAGAGGAAATAGCTGGTGAGCCCAGCACACAATGGGATCTGGTCGGAAGTGTGGTGGTAAAAACAGTGTGGGTGTGTGTGAGTGTGCGTGTGTGTGCGTGATTATGTGTGAGTATGCATGTGCAATAATGTGTGAGTGTGCATGCATGTGTGAGTGAGCACTAAGTCCATATGTGTGTGTGAGCTCGTGTGTGCTGTTTGTGAGCACGTATGTAAGTGCGTGTGCTTGAACACGTGGACTGCCTGGGTTCAGTCTGGCTTGACCTCTAAGGGGCTCTATGACCTTAAGCGGTGCCCTCACTGCCTGGGCACCATGGGCCCCAGAGAGGCCACAACCTGGCCCCGGCCCCATGAAGTGGTGGGGGGCTCCCTGTGACAGGGCCAACGGGCACTTTGGCTGGCCTGGACTTGATCGTACACACAGGGAATTACAAGTGTGCCCGAGGGCATCCCTCCTTCTGGTTAAACGTTGTTTCTTTGCAGGGAGTCAGCCTTGCTCGGGGGTGGGGGTGGGGGTATCATGCGGGTCTGGGAGGTTCAGAGCTTCGTGACTTCCTAGGAGTCAGAATCGACTCCAAAAGTCCCCAGGAGAAAGCGGGTCATGAGCCAGCCTGGCAGGACCTGACGCTGCACCCCGCACCCCAGAACTGGGGGGTCCTGTTGGGAGGGTCCGACCGGGCCAAGGAGTTCCTCACTTCCTTCTCCAAGCAGGTTATTCTGTAAGTTACGGTGTCCACTGGCAGGCATCTGTTAGGCACAGACTCCGGGGCAGCGGTGGGCGAGGCGGCAGCTTAGTGATCAGTGATACCAAAAACGACAGAAATGCAAAACCCGTCAAGTATTAGACTGATTGTAGCTCGTCTGGCAATTCTCGAATTTATTATTTAGCATGCCACATGGAGCTTCTGTGCTGTCCCCTTTGGAAAGTGTCCCACAGGCCTGCACCGTCCCCCGTCCACAGATGGCTGGTCTGCAGGGCCTTCGACTTGCTGGGGGAGCTATGGCTGGCGAGTCCTGTTCGTGTAGGGGCTTCGCCGAGGCCCCCTGGAACTCCACGATTCCGCAAGCAGGGGCTGACCCGCTGTGTGCACCGATGGGGTGGAGGGTGGGGTGGAGGGGTTGGGCTGAGGGGGGACATTGACTGGAACTTGTGTCCGTGGTACTGTCCGCTCCATCAGTCCCATATTGCCCCTCCACTCAATGCTGATACCAACCGTGTAGGGTTGTAGACCCCCACTCCCTGTCAGAGTGCTCATGAAAACCCCGATACACAGCGGTCAGTGAGGACGTTTCTAACCTGCGGAGAAGGAAGCCGAGGTGTTGTCTGAGCAGAGTTAGGAAGACGTGCAGGCAAGCGGGGGAGATGGGGGGAGGCAGAGGCCTGGGGCCCCAGGGTGGGTGGGGAGTGGTCGCCCAGTTTCCGCGGGTCAGGCTCCTACACACGGCTCTTTGGTGCCTCTCCTCAGAGGACTTGGAATGGTAACAGCGTGGCCACCTTTAAGTTCCAGCTTTACTTTCGGGCAGTGGCCCCAGGCCAGGCCGTCCCCCACCCACTTATGAATTGGAGCTGGAGGGGGCCAGGCCAGGGGCGGGGGCTGGCACCCAGGAGCCCCTGCCCTGGCCCTGGTGACCAGAGTTCCTGGCCCAGAGCCCCCCATGTGGCAGTTCTAGCAAGTGGACGAAGGAGGGAATGGGCTGGGTACCCTTCAGAGCGTCCCTTTATCCTGAGACTGGGACTGCTTCATGGGAAGGAAGGAGTTAAAAGTCTTGAGGGCTAAGTCCTGGGGGACATGCACAAGAGGCCACCTCAGTTCCAAGACCTGTGCCTGAGCCTCTGTGTGGGTGAGGTGCAAGGCAGCGCCTCTGCAGGGAGAGGGCGTGCTGGGAACGGCGCAGGAGGAGCTGGCCGCTTGCCGGGAGGGCAGGGAGGCCGGCTCCACCCCAAGACGGAGTTGCCGCCACCCGCCGGCCAGCAGTGCACACACGGCCCCGATGGCTCCGGACCCCAGAGCCGGCCGCAGCCTCCTGCTGCTCATCTGCTGCCTCGCTGCCGCCCACGCCGAGCTACTGGGCCTGAACTGGCTGTGGTCCCCGAGGACAGCGGGTCCCACGGCGGCGCTGACCTCCGAGCCCCTGAAAAGCCCACCTGTGCAGCCCACGGCAGACCCCACCACACACGGGGCCCCCCAGGATGGCCCCACAGAGGGGACGACCGCCGCGGCTATACCTGAGCCGCCCCTGGAGGAGCTGGAGGCTGGCCAGGGCAGGGACCCCACTGCTCCTGCCGCCCTCACCTGGAGTCCAGACACGAGGGAAGAGAACATTGCCGGCGTGGGAGCCAAGATCCTGAACGTGGCCCAGGGCATCCGGAGCTTCGTCCAGCTGTGGGATGATGCCGCCCCCAGCAAGAGCCCCACCGGGGCGGGTACCTTGGCCCCCGAAGTCCCCACGGACCCCCTCACTCTTCCTGAGTCCTCCAGCACCCCCGCTGGGAGCAGAACGGCTCTCTGGCCGAGTAGCGCAGCCCCCAGCTCATGGGACACCCCAAGGACCCATCCCAGCACCTTGTCGGCGCCCACCCAGCTGCTCCCCTCCTTGGGCAGGCCCCGGGCCCCGCTCAGAGAGCCCTTGATGCCCCTGCCGTCTCCAGGTACAGCGTCTTCTCCCTCCTCCCCGGGGTGGCCCCAGCATCCGGACGGTCAAGAACTCCTGCCCGCAGCTGCCCTGCCCGGCCAGCAGCGCCAGCACACCGACGCCCCCTGCTGCACGCCTCATCTGTCTCCCCTGGTGATGGGCCCCGCTCACGCTGCCTCCTTCACCCTCTCCGCTGACCGCTTGGCCCTGCGTGGTAGGGGGGCCCTGTTTGGCGACCCTGGCGGTGAGGGCGGCCGCATGCACACAGGCCACCCGGCTGAGCGGTCTCCGGTCTCAGCTTTAATCAGGGACCTTGGTGATTGGGGTTCTCACGTGGCTAATTCTTCGGGTCCTGGTCTTGCTAACACCTCCGCACCGCTTCCCCCGGCCAGGCAGCCTGCTGGCCACTGCCGGCCGCTGCCACCCTCGATGCTGCTCTGCCACCATCTGGGCATTAGCCTCGCCTGGCTGCCCAACCACCTCGGCCACCAGAGCGACGAGGAGGTGCGGGTGGCTGCGCGGGCCTGGGGGGACCTCCTTCAGACAAACTGCCACCGTTTCCTGGGGTGGTTCTTCTGCTTGCTGCTGGCCCCTCCTTGTGGTGCCGCACCATCGCCTGGCCCGCCACCGTGCCGCCAGTTCTGCGAGGCCCTGGAGGACACGTGCTGGAGCCACCTGCAGGGCGGGAGGCTGCCCGTGGCCTGTGCCTCACTGCCCACCCAGGAGGATGGGTACTGTGTGTTCGTTGGGGCGGCCGCAGGTAACGGCCCACTGACCACTCTCGATTTTGGCTACTCTGAACTTGGCACAGAGACCCCCCCTTATCCCCCGTCCCTGACACCAAGCTGGGGCCAGGCCATCCCAGAGGCAGGGGCAGGTGGTGGCACCCTCTCCAAGAAGGGGAGACAGGGGCAAGTGAGGCGCGTAACCATAGATTCTGTGTGCTTACAACGCCATCACCCACACACCAGGGGCTCCCTACCGTCTTAGCTTGTGTGGTCCTTACCACAGTCTGAGTTAGCCCTGTATGTCCCCGGCCATGGAGAGAAACAGAGGCATGGTGGATCACATGACCCATGGGGATGGAAAAGGAGGGGGAAGGAAGAAAGGAAAGAGAGCAGGGAATGAGGGCAGGGCAGGGGAACGGGGCAGTGGGGAGAGCAGGCGCAGAGCAGCAATGCAGGAGGGACTCTGTTACTAACCCGCAGGCAGCCTGGAAACGCCTCCTGCGCCCCGAGGGAGTCAGCCCCCTACGCAGCTGTCCGACTCCCCAGTAACTGTTTGCGCTTGGTAACCTTGGCCCCGGGAGGGACCTGCCCTCTTGGCCCTAATTCCCGCCCCCACCACCATTTTGTGTGGGCAAACCACCTTGATCTCATCAATGGCCCCGCGGGTCATTGAGCTTCAGGGCTGGGCCAGGCCGGCAGGGAGGCGCAGCTCCTCGGCTGAGTCGAGGGCTTCTGGGGTCGAATTCTGTGCAGATTGTCCCACTGGGGCTCCACGAGATGTGTGGGTGCGCAGGACGGAAAGCCCAGTGCGGCTGGCGGCTGGCCAGTCTGCCAGGCACTCTGCCCACCTGCTCGGCAGACCCATGCCAGCCGGGCGTGCGGTGTGGCTGTGGGGGACGAGGCAGGCGCTGATGATGGATGGGGTGGCCCTGGACCCAAGAGAGAGGTGCACAGGGCGGGAGTGGAGACTGGGTTGGAGGGAGGCGGATTGGATGGGCTGCTTGCCGGAAAGCAAGGCCACAGGCCTGGCCAGGCAGCACCCAGTGTGTGCAGAGGGGGGTAGGGGGACAGGAGCCAGCTGAGGGCAGGAGGGGCCGCGCTGAGGCCGTTGGCTGAGGTATTCGGTCTCGGAGAAGCTGAGGGAAGAAAGAAATCGTGTCCACCGTCCCTGACACCCCTGGTCCCCTGACCTCGTGTGTGGAGTTGCCAGAGCCTGTAAGGCAGCCTGGGCCGTTTGTCCACCCTTGCCATGATGGCCCTGCCCTCCCCCAGCATGTGGGACAGGGGGCAGCCTTCAGTGGGCGCCCCGCCAGAGGAGTGCTGCCAGCAGGAGCTGAGTGCCAGGCCTCAAGCCTGCCTGGCCTCACCCCGCCCACCCCAGCCCGAGGCTCAGCATGGCCCCAAAGACAGTTAACACCCTCCACTCCCTGCCCTCAGGGGGCTGGCCCAGGGGAGAGGCCAGAGGCCAGTCCCTGGTTCCTGAGCCCCAGGAACTCACCGTGAAGGGTGGCATTTCCGATGCCACGACAGGGTGGGACGTGAGGTTGGGGCATCTGGCGGACCCTCAGGGGCTCGGGTCACCCCGTGGAGGGCCCAGGCCCAGGTCAGGCCACCCTGCTGGCTGTCTTAGCTGTCTCGCAGGCAGAACCCTTGTCTGTTTCTGGTGGAGCATAGACCCTGCGGCTCTGCCTTAGGTGGGGTCTGTGGTTCCGGGGGGTGGGGATCCAGGGCGTGGCCGGGAGACAGTTTGGGCTGTGCTTCCTGGCAAGGCCCAGGCAGGGCTGCGTGGGGGCGGGATTTCTCTCACGGCAGCTGGCCGGGAGGCCTGGGGAGCTTCTGACCGCACATCTGTCCACACTGGCAGCCTCCGCGGCTGCGAGGAGGCCATGAAGTCCTGAGGAGAGGCCTGGGGACTCTTGCAGGCAACTGCCGTGTCCCCTCAGCCCAGAGGTGGGCTGAGGCTGGCCTCCCTCAGCTGGTGGCCCTTCCTGGGGGTGGCTGCATGAGCAGGGGCACCCTCCCCCTCCTCTGCCTTCCCAGTCGGGGCACCCCTCCCCGGGGCTCCCACTCAGCCCCTTCCCCTTGTTGGTGACGGATCCCACAGTGACAGGTGGGCTGGTCTTGGAAGGGTGCTGGGCTGTATGCCTGCTCCCATGTCAGCCCTGAGCTCTCCTGCCAGCTACCCTTTGGGCCACCCGGGCATCACCAAGACCCAAGCTGGGAAGACACTCATGTCTGCAGGGAGGGGACACCAGGGGCCTGTCCGCTGCAAGGAGGTAGAGGGCGCCCCTCCCCAGACACCAGCCCTCCCTCTGGACAGCCTCCCCACCCTCACAATGGCTCTTCCGCCCCTCTGTCGCACCTGTGCCCTGCACGGTGCCGCCCTCACCTGAACACCAGCCCTGAGGTCAAAACTGCCTCCACGTCCCCCAGGAGACCGTGTGGGGCAGGGGCAAGGCTGGCCAGTGGGCAGTGGTCGGTGTGGACAGTGCGGTCAGTGGTCGGTGAGGACAGTGGGCAGTGGGCAGTGGGCACTGCGGGCAGTGTGGGCAGTGTGGGCAGTGGGCAGTGTGGGCAGTGGGCAGTCTGGGCAGTGTGGGCAGTGGTTGGTGCGGGCAGTGTGGGCAGTGCGGGCAGTGTGGGCAGAGGGAAGTGTAGGCAGTGTGTGCAGTGCGGGCAGTGCGTGCAGTGTGGGCAGTGCGGGCAGTGG